CCGCCACTCGGCCTGCGAGCGCCCGCCGAAGTATGCGTCTGTGTACACCTGCCAGCGGTCCACCTCCTTCTGGTTGTCAAACTTGAACAGCACCACTGGTTTGGGCATAATCATTACTGCAAGAACGGGCACGGTGTGTCGAGATTTGTGGCGCGCTCAAGCGATGCGCTTGTGCCTTTGCAGCAACGGCACATGCGTCCAAGCAGGAACGCAGGGCGGCGCGCTGAGCACAATACGCACCTTCCCCAGCTAGGGCGCGTCCGATTCGCTGCAAGGAGCGTCCTAGGGACCGCAACATGTTTCGAGAAGGCGCACAGATTTGATCCGTCGAGATCACAATACAAACTTCGGTGATGCAGCAAGGATTGAGAGTTGGAGGTGTTTGATCGACGTGCACAAATAGCTTATGAGCAGTATGGCGCCGACGGTAATGCTCAGCAGCTTTCATGGAGCACTTGACCGCACCTCTCACCTGACTTGAGCTGACTACAGCAGGGCCACCAGGGGCGGAGCTGACATGCCAGACAGCCTGGTCTGTTGGCGTGCTTGCCTGAACTGGGGACATGTGCACAGCGCATACAAGCTGGATGCAAATGCCACAACCTTGCAAAGTTGGGTCAGCAGCGGGCTGGGCGTACAAGTGCGGACCCTCCCCAGGACACTGTCGCAAAACACAGCAGCACTGCGGTCAGCTGTCCTTGACACCAGGGGGCAGATATTTGACCACCAAGGACTTTACTATCGTACCTGAGCTAATCAAAGCTGAATTCCAGAAATCGGCGCGTCGGTTGTCACGTGCAACCGACAGTGGGAACGCCCAGGGTGATGATGGGCGTGTGGGCAGCAGCGGGCGACGTTGGCAGCGATAATATTGTATCATATCCTGAAGAATCAGATCTTGATGGATAACACGCGTACATCAATTGATCGGGGAGCGGGTCGAGGTGATGAGCAGATCAAGTCGGCGCATTTACACCTGCGTCCGTTCACTCGAAATGTTCATTTATTGTTGGATACCCTCTCTATCAATATAAATCACATGTATGTGGTATAATCCGCACTCAACGGGCCGCTCTGACAACAGCAGCTCACAACAACTATTCAGGGCGAGCAGGATCGTGTGTATAGCTGTTAAGAAAGTATCTGTATAAACTTAACGATGGCTTGATGCCTCAAGGAGCCCTCGAGGAGCTCAGCACGCACTGCCCTGCGCCAACGCGGCAGGATGCCCCCCAAGATGGCTCTCAAGGTGTGGTGAAGACGGCTCGGATGTCGCTACGTAGCGCGGGGCTTGCGCAAGGGCCCCGTCGGTAGCAGGATGCCTCGTGAAAATAATGCCTCGCTTACCCCGTACTATACTTGCACCCAACGTCTCAGATGGGAGCATGGGACAAAGAAGAAGATGGACTTCTGTTTTATTGGCAGGTGCGACGCGGCAACCGCTCCAAACCGCGAAGAGCCACATGCTGCGTGGACCATACCTCGGTGGTCAATGCAGCTGTTGCCTGCCGCTGTTGGCGCCTATGAGTCCGATGGCGTTGTGTGTGACGAAACATGCTTTTGTATGCAGCGATCCCGGGCCACTTTGGCCCGGCACGCCCCGCACATGTGGAGGGATCCACACCGCAATGATCTTGATGTGCGCCTCACTCGCCGCTGCCCCCCCCGCGTCGTTTGACCGCGCAGAGCATGTTCGGTAACAAGTGGAGCGAGGTGCGGCGCACACCCAGATGCTCCCGGACGCGCCCCTAATATCACGGCTGCATGGCTGCGTGCAAGCATCACTGCTACCAAGGCCGTGCCTCGTGTTTCCCTCACGAAGCCCCCTCGGTGATGCCATGCAGTCCCACCCGTCGCCCCCGCTCCCCTCCTTAACCAAGGTTGCGCGCTACATCCCTGGCCGCACCGGCCAGCAGTGCGCCCAGAGGTGGCGCCACAAGGTGAGCGTCCGGGCCGGCCGCGACGTCACCCGCGTTTGCTGCGTACCCGAGGACGATGCTGCGCTTGAAGCACAATCCAGCCCAGCTTCCGCCCGGCTCCCCGCCGCCCAGCCCACCTACCTATCCCTGCACCTGGGCTCTGCCTTGCCCACGGGTCGCGTCCTGCTCCCACCGACCCCCTAGGCTCCCGCACCCCTCCCCCCCCAATCACGGTGCCGCCGCCGCGTCCACCAATGCGCGGTCCCCAGGTCAACCCGAACATCCGCCGCGACAAGTGGACCAGGGAAGAGGACGCGCGCCTGGTTGACCTGGTCAACACCTTGGGGGTCGGCAAGTGGGCCGAGGTCGCGCGCCAGATGGCGGGCCGCACCGACCAGCAGTGCATGGGGCGCTGGCGCCGCCACCTCGACCCGGGTGTGAAGCGGGTGAGAGGGAGACGGCCAGGGCGCTGAGGGGGTAATGACAGTGTGTTTGCGCGCGTGTGTGTGTGCGCGTGCGCGCGCGCGTGTGTGTTTGGGTGTGGATGCGTGCGGCAGGGTGGGGTGAGTTGGACGCGACAGAGCAGGGCCATCCACACAGATGTGGTGGGGCGGAGACCAAAGCACCTCGGCCGCCACTGCCACGCCGCGTCGCGCATCCCCCCCCCTCAACCCCCGACCCTTCCCGGGACGCCCCCTCCCCCTCGCCCCTGCCCCCGCAAGGACTCCTGGCGCCCCGAGGAGGACGCACGGCTGCTGGAGCTGCACGCGCAGCACGGCACGAGCTGGTCCCGCATCAGCCAGCTGCTCAAGGGCCGGACCAGCCAGCAGTGCCGCGCGCGATGGTGCGCGGCGGCCGCGCCCCCCGCCTCGCCGCTGCGCCCGCGTCAGCATGCACACAGTCGTGTTTGTCGTCCCGCCCGCATGCACTTGCTGGTTCATTGTCCAGCTTGGTTATTCGAAGCCGACCCGCTGCCACCGCAGGCACCAGATCGACTCGGGCCGCGCCCGACGCGCCGGCAGCGGGGCCCGCGGCGGCGGCGGCGCCCAGGGGTCGTCGGGCGGCGGCCGGCGGCGCAGGGGGCGCGGGGTGCCCTCGTTCGATTCGGACGAGAGCGATGATGAGGGGGAGGGGGAGGGCGGCGCAGGGAGCGACGCGGACGGGGGCGGCTGCGGCGGGGAGGGGCGGGACGAGGAGGGCCCCGCGCGCGGCCGGCAAGGGGGGCAGCGTGGGGCGCTGCAGGAGGCGGCATTGCAACTGGAAGTGCAGCAGCAGTGGGCGCGGGGCCAAGGGTGGCGCGAGCTCGGATTGGGCGGCGAGGGCGCCGCAAGCTTTGGCCCGCAGGCGTCGTCAGCAGCGGCGGCGGCGGAGGCGGCAGCAGAGGCAGAGGCTGAGGCTGAGGCTTTTAAGGTTCAGAGCCAACAGCCTCTGCCGGGACCTGGCGGGGCGGCTGGGGGCAGCGTTGCAGGCAGCAGGGGCGCTGCGGCGTGGGCCAGCGGCGACGCCGTGATGTTGGACGGGGTCGCTTACGCCGTGCGGCGGCGGG